ATTAAGGGCTTTGTATGTTAGGAGAAGGATTTTAAATTCTATTCTGAATTTTACAGGGAGCCAGTGGAGAGAAGCTAATATGGGAGAGATATGATCTCTCTTGCTAGTTCCTGTCAGTACTCTGGCTGCAGCATTTTGAATTAACTGGAGGCTTTTTAGGGAACTATTGGGACATCCTGATAGTAAAGAGTTATAGTAGTCCAGCCTGGAAGTAACAAATGCATGGACCAGTTTTTCAGCATCACTTTGAGACAGGATTCTCCTGATTTTTGCAATATTGCGCAGGTGAAAGAAGGCAGATCTAGAGACTTGGTTTATGTGTGATTTAAAGGACATATTCTGATCAAAGTGTAGTAACATTGTAAGGTGTTTGAACATTAAACAAGCAGAGATTGTTATATTCTGTGGGGAGAAAAGAAGGTTAGCTTTTGAATAAAAGAAAGCACAATTGTTATTAGCACATAATTATAACAATAGAAAAATCAAAACACTATTTCTTGAACTAGTGTTTTGGCACTTTTTGGGGGCAAGACTTAACATTGCTTAGGCAGATTTAAACTACACATAATAGAATATTTTCTTGTAATCTTATGGGTCGGCTTACAGACTTTGGATCATAAATATTTGTCTTTTCACATCCAGGACAATATTTCCATTGTTATAAGAAGGAAGGAAGAAGCATTTTTCTTGCAGTGAATGAGTTAGGCATGTACAGAAATCATCTTTACTAAAACATCTCTAAACGTCTGTTTAGACATTACACAACTTTTGGTTAAAATAATTTCACATTCTCAAATATAAGAACCTGCTCATTGTCATAGAGAGAAGCAAATATTAATTTTTATGGTGGTCTCTTCACAATCCAGTGTTGTCCTATTCTCTTGGGAAGAATCACATAAGGGGTGAGATGGTCCTAGTATCTGTGTTCCCCTGTAAATGAATCAGATAAGAGAACCAACTGTCTTTGGGTTTGTTTGAACTATCTGAAACTTATTGTCTAAGGTCTGATGCGAAATCCAACGTGTGTATTCACAGGTGTGAGTCAAGTCAAAGTAGAAGTGGAGTTTTGGTTTCTGTAGACAGAATCTGGGCTCTCCATCTGATAAGGAGAGGATAGTGTGTATTGTAAAAGTCATAAGGAGAGGGAGAGTTTGTCCATTGTGGTCAAGGAGATGAGGCTAGGCCTTTTGATGTCTACATCTAGTTTGTTTGCAGAAGATGGTGTGATAAAACCTTACACTTACAGCTGTTTTGGAATAGCAAAGCAGTGCCTGGTCTACGCACTGGGGGTCATTCTGCTTCTCATGCTTGGAAATCAAAGTTAGTTATTAATTATGAATTATGAGTTCCTCAGAATAAAAAATCTCTTCAAAATGTCTACTTTGGATTTGTGGGCACTACATTCGCATGCTAGAGGTCTTTATCAAGTAAATGTAAACATGCTTTTAGGCATTTGAACAAATGAGTAATGGTGTCTTTTTCTTGGGAGACAAAATGTCATATACACAGCTGCAGGTGATTCACTGCAGAGCTACATTGCGCTGTGACGTATTGCTGCAACAGATGCTGAATTTGTAACCTGCGTGTAGTTACTCTTGAAAAATGAAATGATGTAATGCTCTATGTCAGGTCATGAGAACAGTAACACCTTTTTACTCT